CATACATTATGTTGAAAAAGTCTGCATACTTATCATTGCTGATTTCTCCAAGTCCTGCAACTAGTAGCCCAGCTCATATTGAATTCATCCTTTATCACCAATTTCTGCATTATTCTCAAACCATTATCTTATAATGATAAATATTAAATGCCAAGTGATAGTTCTAACATATTAAAAATCATTAAATATGGTATAAACCTAGAAATAATAGTTATTTTGTATCCATTATTTAAAGACAAATTTTAAATTGAAGACCTGCAATATTTTTAAAATAAGATCTTCACTATCACTGAATACAAGCACTGGTCCAAAGACATATGGTTCAGTTTCTGTTGATTTCTCTTGCAAGCGAGCTGAGTCACTTCAGTCATGTCTGATTTTTTTCAGCCCTGTGGGCTGTAGCCCGCCAGGCTTCTCTGTCCACGGGGGATTCTCCAGGCAAGAATACTGGAGTGGGTTGCCATGCCCTCCTCCAGGGGGTCTTCCTGACCCAGGGATTGAACCTGTGTATCTTAAGTCGCTTGCATTTGCAGAATATAAATCCAGGGTTTTTGGTTATTTTCAATACATTTGTACATGGGTTGTCATGTCAAATTCATAAAGTGTTTTTTTTACGTAACATAACATAACAGTGTTGCTGGAAGTCTTAGCAATAGTTAAAGTTCCTACTTCTCCCTTTCTCGCTCTCTCATTGCATTAAGGATTCATTAAAATCATTATGGAATACTATATATGTATATATTCAAAATGATCAAATACAAATGTTATGATTTACACCATTTTCTCCTTCAGATTGCTTTGTGAACAAAATTAGAAAGAATATTTTTGTTTATAAATAAATTTTGGAAATTGAAGGACTGAGGTTTTAATGTTTTCAGCCAGGGTAACTGCCCACAGTAATTTAACAGCAGATATAATTAATTCTGTGCAATTTTTGATGTGGATTTTTCCCTGTATTCATTTTATTTGCTTTTGGCTATAGCACCTAATTCATTGAACCAATTCCCATTAAAAAAGTTCACTCAAAGAGCATCTTTGATTGTCAAAGACACAGTTTTACAAAATTTATACTCATAAAGATGAAGATGACTCAGTATGTTGATTGGCTAGGCTTAGTTAAGCAGGAGAGAGCTGTTTGAAACATTTTACAAAGACCTTTTCTTTGTTGATTCCTGCAAATAACCTACTGGTATTGTTACTTAGAAAGCAATGAAAAATAATAAAGAAGACATTTTTAAACTACTGAGTTTAATCACTCAGTTTTGTAAATTTAAAAAAATGACTTAAAAATATGAACTGCAGTTTTTTAAAGATATTTCTGTTTTATTTTCTTTAGTGCACATAAAATAATTGAATGCCAAAAAAAAATGAGAGGGGTTGTCAATATATGACTTTTCGTTCTTATCTAATCACTTCATTACCATATTTCCTTCCCTGAGACAATCTTATTAAACAGATTAGTGGGTCAAACTCAAGCTTTTCTAGGAAAATAGAAGGCAATATGTTTTTATACCCCCAAATTCTCTACTGATTCTAATTTATCTACTAGATTTTATTGTTGTTATTCAGTTGCTCAGTCATGTCTGACTCTTTGCGACTCCATGGACTGTAGTACGCCAGGTTTCCCTGTCCTTTACTGTCTCCCAGAGTTTGCTCAAACTCATATCCATTGAGTCAATGATGCCATCCAACCATGTTATCCTCTGTCACCCTCTTCTCCTCCTGCCTTCAATCTTTCCCGGCATCAGGGAAAAGGAAAGATACATCTATCTACTAGATAAGTGATGTTATTATTTGCATTCCATTATATAAGTTTTAGAAATGCAGGAATATATAAGAAAGTGTATAAAAATCACCAATAATTTCATATCAAGAATCTTAACTACTGCTAATATTTCACATATTTCCTTTTGGTCATTTTTCTCTGTGATTATTTGCATATAAGAATTTTTAACATACAAAATTGTTATTGCATAGTCTATAGAGTTTATATCATGTTTTAAGTTAAAACTCTTTCATAAATATTTTGCTATATCTACATACATTATGGGAAAAAAAAAATCTCTCTTAAAAACGAGTCTCATTATTTTGTGGCATCACTGTGCAATATTTTCTTTATCCTCCCAGAAGAGAAAATCAACACTTGGGGAAATTAGTAGTTTTCTATGTATATGACCTGACTGGAATACCTGATATAAAGAAAAGAGAATGAACATGTACTGAATTTAGCCTTCTTCCCAAAAATGATCACAAAAATGACCTTAATGGTAAAGGATAATAAATGTACTGTTCAGAACATCCAATATACTACTTTTCCTTGTTCTAAAGTAAACTCTGGGAGTTGGTGAGGCCTGGGATGCTGCAGTCCATAGGGTCGCAAAGAGTCGGACACAGACTGAGCGACTGAACTGAACTGAAATGAACTGAAAAGGAAAGTGAAACCATATTGGCCAGATGCATGTTTACATCATAACTGTTCATTTGGTTAATCATTCTTAGAAAGCTTTCTATGAAATCAGATGAATTTAATGCATAAGACCCATTAGTGGGTGTTGAATGAGATGAAAGTAAATGTAACACCATTTTTGTCTTCCCTTGGATTTCAAAAGTTACATGGAAAGTGAGACATTAACTCTTAAAATTTTAAAAGTAGGTCACAATTTAATGATAACTTAACTTTCCTGGTTCTATGAATTCAGGACTTCAAAAGATCGAGAAACATGGAGCTTGACATATGTTTAGAGACCTAACTAATTGTGACACCAGCATTGAAATCTCCTTTAGGACTGCCTCCAGTGAATTCCTAAATGCCCAGTTCACTCCTCGTCTTTACTGCCTTACTTCCCAATCTAACACAACTCTATCAAGTCACTGCTTTTATTTAATTTCCCATCCTTTAATTTGTAGCTACTCTCACCATTATGTTCTTAGATAAAGTTTCTTCCACTTGCAGAGACATTTGTATTTATTAAGAAATATAATAGGATGCCCTTTCTTTTTTATTCTATTCATTCGTCTTTATGAAAAATGTTCATTGAGTGCTTCCTTAAGACTGTGTACTTTAAGTCACCCTTATGGAATTTATATTCTCAGAAGGGGATAAATATTGAACAACTAATTACATAATTATTCATTGTTAATTTATGTCAAATGCAACAAAGATGATGGATAGGGTGGTGTTATGTATGATGGCATCTATCAGAGAGAAATAACATGGTCAAGAAGTGAAAGAATCTATGATAGTCATACTTTTTGTTGTTATTCAGTCACTAAGTCATGCCCAACTCTTTGTGACCTCATGGACCGTGGCATGCCAGACTTCCCTGTCCTTCACTATCTGCTGGAGTTGCTTTCCTGAATTGTTGATGCCATCCAGCCATCTCATCCTCTGTTGCCCCCTTCTCCTCCTGCCCTATATCTTTCACAGCATCAGGGTCTTTTCCAGTGACTCAGCTCTTTACATAAGGTGGCCAAAGTATTGTTATTCTTTAGAATTTAGGTTTTAATGCTTTTTTAATAAATGATTATATACAGTGAATATTTATAATGACTATACACACACACACACACACACATAATGATTTTGGAGTGGTGACTGCTTCCTCTCATCCATTCAGATATGTATTGCATGCATGCTAAGTTGCTTCAGACATATTCAACTCTTTGCAACTCTGTGGACCGTAGCCCACCAGGCTCCTCTGTCCATGGGTTTCTCTAGGAAAGAATACTGGACTGGGTAGCCATTTCCTCCTCCAGGGGATCTTCCTGACCCAAGGATTGAACCTGGGTCTCTTACCTCTCCTGCATTGGCAGACAGGTTCTTTACCACTAGCTCCACCTGGGAAGCCATCAGATATGTATTAGATTAGTTCAAAATGTAAACTATAGAGAAATAGATAACAAACATTGGCTTTTATTGAAGATAAAAAGAGTTTTGATAGTAATATATTCACATTTAAAAAAAGGTTTTGGCAAAAACATCAAACAATTTTTGAGCATTTAAATGCTCAAATGAATAATTTTAGAAATAAGGCCATTTGCAGGAACATGGATCGACCTAGAGATTATCATACTAAGTGAAGTGAGTCAGAAAAAGACAAATACTGTATGGCACCACTTATATGTAAAACCTAAAATATGACACAAATAAACTTATCTATGAAGAAGAAACAGACTGACATGGATAACAGACTTGTAGTTGCCAAGAGAGAGGGAGGGTAGGATGGACAGAGTAACAATTTGAGGTTTGTAGACGTAAACTACTTTATAAAAAATGGATAAACAATAAGATCCTGATGTATAGCACAGAGAACTGTATTCAATATCCTTTGATAAACCATACAGGAAAATAATATTAAAAAGTATATATATAAATATGTATTATATATATATATATATATAAAATAACTGAATTACTTTGCTATACAGCATAAATTAACACAATATCAATAAAAATGCTAAACTAAATGAAACATTTTAGAAAAACATTTTACTTTTAGTATGCTTTTATTTTTTATATTGAAAAATAAGTTGTTAATGTAAAAATAATGAAAGTGTTTTAAATTATCATCTCCTTTTCAAAAAAAGGCACCAAGTCATATGGACAAAATAGCAAATATTTTTTTAGTAATTTTACTTAGAATGTCTTACAAATATAATTCCATTTTATTATCACAATAAATTATTATTTTTATTTAGCAAGTTTCTTTTTAGGAATTTTTACTTGTTTCACAGATGATGTTTAGGCTGAGAATTAAAGAAGAGTTTAGGTATAATCACACAGCTAATTAACGGTTGGTGCCATGAAATTTCAAATAGTTCTATGGTGTAGTTCCTAAAACATTGCTCTAACCATATACAGTTAAATCTTATTCACAGAATATCCTTAATGTCTCAGTGTAAATCTAGTTTTAATAACATCAATATTCAATTTTGGTAATTTAGGCGTGATTTAAGCATTCATCATTTGAAAGTTACATTTTACTGCTAATTATTCTTAGCTATTGGTTTGGATTCCTGTCCTGAACCACAGACTCCTAGCAGTGGGATTAAAATTGGAGACAGATACATGGTTGGTGATGTAGTATCCTTTCAGTGTGATCAAGGCTATTCTCTTCAGGTAGGTCTATTTTAAAATTTTAGCTTTGAATTCCATTACCCTTTGAGAATATTTTAGCAAATTAATGATTAATAATACAGAAGTTAATACTGATCTCAGGCTGCATAATTTGACAGTATTAAATCAAAAGGTATTCAGTTTGTCAATGAGGTATTTGTGAGAGAAATTGCTGGAATGGACTAAATTTGTTTTGTTTGTAAGTAATTAAAAATGATTTTGGAATCAAAATAAATGTTTACTTTTTTTTCTGTACACATAGGATGTAAAAATTTAACTCCCAGATTTTTAGAATTTGCAAATAAAAATGAAAGTGCTACTTAAAGCATTAAATAAAGCTTCCATGATAATAAATTCCCCAGATTTGTAAAAAAAAATGACTACAGATAAGTTTTGCTAAAACTAGGGAGTTACAATGTAAATTCTCAATTTATGTATTTATATTAATACTCTTTTGCAAGTTTTTTAAAGGGTCTGAATTTATAGCCTCATAAAAATCTCCCTAAAGCATAGACCTATTAAGAAATTAAGAAAAAAAAAAAAGAGACAGAAACTATTTCACATGTTAAATCAATAAATTCCTTAGAGGAAATAAAATTTTAAATGAATGATTTATAGTCTTTAAACTTGTATCCCAAATTATTAGTCTAAGTAAAACATTACGTTTTTCTGGACTCTATATAAATGTAATATACCTTAATTGATTTTTCATATTTTTATAGAATAATTTTATAATCATTTTTTGTCTATCTCACCTTGAATATTATAGCACTTTATTATAAACCACTATGTATGTGGCCATTTCCCTTGTGTAATTACTGCAGTACCTTAGTAGAACATGTTTTGGTAGAACAGTGTTAAAACCACAATTTTAATGTGATATAGAGTCTTAATTTTTCTATCAAAATCTTGTTATTTTTTTACATTTTAGCACAAGTGTATATAATAACCTTTCTTGTTTTAAGTCACACTAAGATTTCCAATAGTATTAAAAATATTACAATGCAATATATTGTTTTCATAAGTATCATTCACTATCCTGTGTTATATTTAGACTTTTAAAAATGTGTACTGAACTGCACTGTCTTGTTTATATAGGGCCATTCTCATATTACATGCATGCCTGGACCTGTAAGAAGATGGAATTATCCAATCCCAATTTGTTTGGGTGAGTTAAAGAACTATAAATTATTTATTAGATATTTTAAAGATATACCTTATATATGTTGTTTTTTAAACATAAATTTTGCCTTTTGCAGTTTTTATGGAAATTATATTCCCAGATAAATGTTTCAATTTTTTTTTTAGTTTTAAAGTTTTACATTTTTTTGGTCCCAAATTAATTATCAATGTATGGCTTTAAACTACAAATTGAGAAACAGTATTAGGTTTTCTGATTCCCAGAGTTTTCTCAGTATAATGTTGTAGAACTACTCATACTCATAGATCAGAAAAAAAAGTAAATATTCTATTGCTTACTCTTGAGCCAAAATAGGTAAGAAAGGGAGAGTCTACCAAAGGAAGCATGATATCCCATGAGATGTATGACATATCAAAAGAACACTTGAGACTTTGAAATTTGAACCCAAATATTTACCCTAATTTAATGCAGTTTCCAGTTATTTCTATCCACCTTAAATGTTTTCACTTTTTTTTAATTTCTGGTATCTGTATGCCACCATTAATATGCTGGGCTCTATATAGTATGAAAAGAAAGTGTGAGTTATGATCTCCATTATTAAAACATTTGTTTACCATTTAGAGTTGTAGAAATAAATGAAATGAAATAGGAGAGTGATTTAGTGTTTAATGCCATTGACTACCTGATGGAATTTAAGAAAGATGAGAATGGTGTTGACTGAAGTCACTGGGAAATATAGTCAGTCAATAAAATTTACAAAGGGTATTGAATGACAGATATAATTAAGTGAATGAAGACTAACCTTTCTGGGTAGGAAAAAAGCAAAAGAATTAGTGTGACCTAAATACCTACCAATGTACAGTGAACAAACCTGTAATATATTAGTTTCCTTGGGCTAGTGTAACAAAATGTCATAGACTAAATGACTTCAACGACAGAAATTTATTTTGCCAAATTTCTAGAAGCTAGAAGATCAAGGTCAAGGTGCTGGCAGGGTTGTATTTTTGGAGCATTTCTTTCCTTGACTTGTGGAAGGTGATCTTCTCCCTACATCTTGACATGGCCTTTTCATTGTGAGGGGATTAGAGCTCCACCATCATGACTTTATTTAACTTTAACAGTGTCAGACTTTATTTCTTGGGGCTCCAAAATCACTGCAGATGGTGATTGCAGCCATGAAATTAAAAGACACTTACTCCTTCGAAGGAAAGTTATGACCAACCTAGACAGCATATTAAAAAGCAGAGACATCACTTTGCCAATAACGGTCTGTCTAGTGAAGGCTATGGTTTTTCTAGTGGTCATGTATGGATGTGAGAGTTGAACTGTGTAGAAGGCTGAGCGCCAAAGAATTGATACTTTTGAACTGTGATGTTGGAGAAGACTCTTGAGAGTCCCTTGGACTTCAAGGAGATCCAACCAGTCCATCCTAAAGGAGATCAGTCCTGGGTGTTCATTGGAAGGACTGATGCTGAAGTTAAAACTCCAGTACTTTGGCCACCTGCTATGAAGAGCTGACTCATTGGAAAAGACCCTGATGCTGGGAGGGGTTGAAGGCAGGAGGAGAAGGGGATGACAGAGGATGAGATGGTTGGATGGCATCACCAATTCAATGAACATGAGTTTGAGTAAGCTCCGGAAGTTGGTGATGGACAGGGAGGCCTGGCGTGCTACAGTCCATGGGGTCGCAAAGAGTCAGACATGACTAAGCGACTGAGCGACTGAACTGATTTCCTTAAACGAGATATCACTTATCTCCAAATGCAGTCACATTTGGGAGTTAGGGCTTTAACATATGAATATTGGGAGGACACAATTCAGTCTGTGATGCTTATATGCTATATGCACAATTTTTGTTATAGAGTACTGGAAATTAATGTTTGAATAAAGATGTTTTTTATTGACAAACAATATTAAAAGCATTCAGACTTTAGATTGGATGACAATTTTGGAAGGGTTTATTTTTTTAGGTATTATAAATTATGTATATAATACCAATTACAAATTGCATATATAATATAGTAATTATAAAAATGTATATATACAGATAATGCCATTAGTGTGTTATGAATATGGGGTGTGTATATATCCAATTAAGTATAAAATTGAAATGATAAAGATAAAAATAATATATATATTTTGCTGATGTGAAAGCAGAGAGTTTTGGTCTTTTGTTCATTACTGTTCTTTACTGCCAAGAACAGTTAATATCTTAAGTACATATCCAATAAATATTGTATAGTGAACAAATTAAAGTTTTGGGATTCTACAGTATGTATAGTTTTTATAATGTCCTTCTTGACATTCACTTAGAAACATTTTCTCCATCATAGCATGTTTCCAAAAATTTTATTTTTTAAATGACTGTATAGTACATAGCTTAGTCTAATTTGTATAGTTATTCTCTTTTGTTAGCTTAGTTTTTTGTCTTTTTGATATACATTTATACACCTTTTGTTCATATTTACACATTTATACACATTTCTTTTTAAGTGTCCTTCACATGCCTTCTTACACATATCTTTTGTTTACTTAGGATCTTACATAAGTAGATTAATTTTGTTATTGCATAACTATTTAAAATTTGATAAATATCTTCAAATTGCTTTAGAAAGTTGTATCAATTTAAATATCACTCAGTTATGATATGGTAATTTCCCTTTTGCTGTATTAGTAACTTCAGTTATTACTCTTAACAAATTGCTTAGTTTTTAGGTAAATATTGTGTTTTGATTAAATCTATATTCCATTGAATATTGATAACAAGGGAAGTATTAGATGGAAGTGATATTTCAATAAAATTAAACTAGAAATTTTAAATTTATATAGACTAAATTTTTATGAAACTGTATTAAATACTGGTCGTATTTTGATGTCCAATTTATCTGCATTTGAATTTCAGCTAAGGTGCAATAGCTTTGTATGGCAAGTATATTATTCTGTTTGCTTACCTGTTGTATGGAATAGTAATAGGTCCATTATGAGAACGAAATGAGAGAACACATTAAAGTATCAGCACCAAGCCTGAAATACACAGGGTGTCCACAGTGGTATTATAGTGAAAAATATGCAACAACTTAAGGGTCCAGTAATGGGGAAAGGGGAAGTGAACATTATATTGGAATATTTAATAACATGAACAAAGTTTACAATATGTAGTCAAATATAAAAAGGCTTAAAGTGATTCTCAGTATGATCCTGTTTTCTTTATGTATGTAGTGTATAAACACACATACATGAGTGTATGCTTTTCTGCAGAGAAATAAAGAATTATAAAGGTAGACAGGTTATCTATGGGTAGTGAAATTCCAGAACACTGCTATTTATTTTCTACTCAATTTTTATATTTCATAAATTTTGGACAGTAAACTTATACTATATTTGACAAAATGTTAGAATTGATATCATGGCCAGTTTTTAAGGAGAAACTGAAGGCACGAGGCTGATTCAGAGAATGCCTTAAAACTGTAGTCATCAGGTCTCAAGGTTACAATCTCATGAACTGAAAAATAAACAGTCTGCCAGATATTGTGGTTGAAGGAAGGAAAAGCCACTTGAGATTTCTAGGTAATAGAGACAAATCTGAAGGAAAAATCAAAGATGATTTTATCTTGGAGGATTATGCTGTGTTTGTGTCCTTAAGAAAACAGCATATAATAGGGCTCAAAAGATTCTCCTGTGAAATGGCTGGTGAAGCATAACGTCATTAAGGCCTAGGTGTGCATGAGTTTGCATAGTCACTGAGAAAATAGGCAGGAGCGTGGAGCAGATGCAGTGTTGGGATTCTTCTTGTTTTCATGGTTTGTTGCTATTTTCCTTTCTCTTTCACTATCTGTTATCTTTTATTCTTTCTTTCTTCTCTCTGATTTTGAGATTTACACTCTAGAAATATGGGCAATGCAGAGGACAGGATTTTGAGATCATTTCTAAAGAGATGGAAAGTAGCAGAATTAGAGGGACAGTGAGTAGCTCAAACACTTGAGATTGTGAAAGCAAGAAAGCAAAAGAGAGTCCTTGTTTTCTTTCAATTAAAATTCAGAATAAAGCAAAACAAATCTACAATTGCATTCTTTCCAGGAACTTTAAAAGTACTTTTGATTGGCCAAAATATTTTCTCTATAATTCCCAATTATTAGATTGTGTAATAATATATGTGGACAATCAAATTTTAGGAAAATTAATTGGTGAACATTAATGGTTTATATATATGGTGAAAACTGCTCTGGTTTAAAGGTGGATGAGCTGAGATTTGCAAAGGATGAAAAATATACAGGTGTATTACACAGTGATAATTACAACTTTTAAAGAAAGGTTGATATGCAGATTAACTACAAGGTTATATATATCCCCTTAGTAAAATCTGCTTGATACATAATTTATTCAGCTCACATAGCTAAAGATAGCTATCAAACTGGCTATTGATATCACATAGAACATTGATAAACTTTCTACTGAATTTGCCTTTATGATCTATAAGCTGAAGTTTGAATATCTATCTGTTGCTATTCATAATAATAAGTGAATGAAGTTACGGGTACTTATAAGGTAACTTTTTAACCTGATGTGCAGTCATGAAACCTGATTCTTCAACCAACAACTGAGATGTGTATTTTAGTCCTTCTGTGACAAAAGGATAAAAATGTACACTGAGAGGAAAGAATTAGCTTCTAGACTGCAGTTGTTCTATTATTACATGTTAAATAATTCTATAATCATGTAAAAATTAAAACTTGGGCAATTATCTGTTCTTGTAGTTTATGGTTAGCTCATCTGTAATAAATCAGTATAATAGGGACTCTAAAAAAGTATAAATTTATCCTGAAATTCTCAAATATGGGGGCATCTTTTTACTTATGTTATACTCCCCAATCTTTTGTCTAGATTATTTTAGGATAAAGTGAGGTCTTATAGTCTGTGAATCCCTTGCATATTATCAATAGAAACCAGTATTTTACTTAAAAACCTCTAGCCTCCTCACAAAAAGAGGAAAAGAGGAAAGACTGGGAAATGAAACTCTCCTCAATACAATACTTAGAATGAGTGTTGCTGGCTTGATTTTATTCTAAATTGTATCATCTTTTGAATGAATCAAAATATTTCTAGAAGTACTTTGTATCAGAAATGTACTACTCACTATGGAAAAGGATCTGTGCTTCTTGTTTGATTGTATTCACTACACATGAGCTACTCTTCTCTGTGCAGTAATTGATTTAGCTTGTATTTACGGCTGAGGAAGGAAATACATTATCCTTTTCTGTATTTTACAAAGTGCCTTCTCAATTGATTATATTTGAATACTGGTATGTGGTGAATTAGATTGAAAATATTAAAATTTGTATCAGTTTTAACTCAGAGACTTGATTCATACTTGAAATGATTTCAGTCTGTTTTTAATACAATAAAGCACTTTGTCTTAAGTGGGACCTCGATTCTCTTGCAGCTCAGTGCGGTGGTGCAATGTCAGATTTCAGTGGTGTGATCCTCAGCCCTGGGTTTCCTGGAAACTACCCCAGCAGTTTAGATTGCACGTGGACAATAAGGCTGCCCGTAGGTTTTGGTATGTATATTAAAAACACATGAAAGAGTGTTTTTTATATTATTAATTCATCCTTTAAAAATACCAAAGTGCAGTAAGAGCTTAATGAAATATTCACAAATTATAGTTTACTTTGGGATTGCATGTGCTTTACTTTAAGTTCTTGGATAATTGAAAGAATATGGGCATTTAAAAATTTTATAGGTAGTTGATAAATAGAAAAACCATGATATTTCCCAGACAATATATATGAATATAGCCTGAGTTATATGTGTTTAGTAGTGATAAATGCAACATGATTTTCATGTATTTTGTTTTTGTAACTCTCTTCTGCTTATTGTAGCCAAGTAGTACATAGAAAAATTATTTTCTGATAATCTATTGAATTTCATATTCATTGTAAATAAATAAGTTTTATACATTTTAAAAGTAGTATAGTTTTTCTACTGTAAGATTTAAATACCCATGTTGATGTAATAGTACCTTTTTAATTCTAATAATATAATCCCCAGTGTTCATATATATATAGCATTAAATACATATATAATACATTTAATAATAAATTATTTCCCTCTTGTATCACTAACATATTCTCTTGCAAGCTACTTCATTACCCACTAGTCTATAAATGTATAAATAGCAGTGTTAAATTGGGGATAGATTTATTCATTAAATCACAGAAGAATAACATGTACATACTCCTTGAAATACAAACCTAGTATATTTAGAGTTAAGATATTCTGTATTATCTCACTTATTGAGAGTGAAAGTGAAAGTCGCTCAGTCATGTCAGATTCTTTGTGACCCCATGGACTATACAAACCATGGAATTCTCCAGGCCAGAATACTGGAGTGGGTAGCCTTTCCCTTCTCCAGAAGATCTTCCCAACCCAGGGATCAAGCCCAGGTCTCCCACATTGCAGGCAGATTCTTTACCAGCTGAGCCACAAGGGAAGCCCAAGAATGCTGGAGTGGGTAGCCTATCTATTCACCAGCAGATCTTCCCAACCTAGGAATTGAACCAGGGTCTCCTGCATTGCAGGCAGATTCTTTACCAACTGAGCTATCAGAGAAGCCCAACTCACTTATTAGATGCCTCATTTACCCAATGGTTTCCCAGGTCACACTGGTGGTAAGGAACCTGCCTGCCTGTGCTGGAGATGTGAGAGGTGTGGTTTTGATCCCTGGGTTGGAAAGATCCCCTCGAGGAGGGCATGACAACCCACTCCAGTATTCTTGGCTGGAGAATCCCATGCACAGAGGATCTGGTGGGCTACGGTCCATAGAGTTGCAAAGAGTCAGATACAAATGAAGCAACTTACCTGCATGCATGCATTTAGCCAAAAGCATCAATCGCCTCAGAATAGTAATTCATTAAGAATGTTTTACATAAATTAATATAAACTCATAGTTTTAGAATTCTATACTGAGTATGTACGTATCATAGTCCAGGTATTTTGCTAAGTGCTATGGATAAATGCATGGTAAAACAGACTATTCACCTTTTCCCAATTGAGTTACAGTCATGATGAGGAGACAAATAGTCAGATATGCAATTGCAGTGAAGTAAATGAAAGTGTACAGGATTAAGCTTAGTACAGACATCCAACCTAGTCCAGGAGATGCAAAAAAAGGTTTACCAGAGGAAGTGATGCCTGAACTGTGGCTTTAAATATAAGTAAGCCCAAAAAAGAGGGTCAGGCTGTGAGGAACACAAAAGAAATTGTAGGCAAACAGAATGACATATGGAAAAATGCAGATAACAAAGCTAAAGAAATTCAACAAACTTGAGCACTATGTGACAGGTTTGAAGTTTGGGGAGAATAGTAGGTCACTGAGAGAAGAATGCAGTGGAGCTTTCTAATGATAATTATTTTGGCTCCAACATAGGAACACCCTTTAATTTGAAGTCATAGTCAAATTCTATGCCTTTTGATTGAAAGTGAATAGATGAATAATAGATTTGAAACAGTATGTTTATTCTTATATCTTTTTCTAGCTACTTAAGAGGGCTCATCCCATGTTGCTTATGGAGATAAGTGAATTATTTTAAAATAACTTATTAGATATATTTTCAGTAGTGTCATATCATCATAGTTCTTGTTAATGCTTCCTTTATTTTAAAAATTAAGTTTATTAAAAATTAAAAAGTATATGCATCTGTTTCTCTATTTTAGAAATAAAAACAGGAAACTGTTTCTGATTTGATTACATTTAAGTTTTCCCACTGTTTTCTTTGAGTTTTGGTTGCCTCAAATATTGGTTCTAATGTATTTGAACAAATAATTTATATATTTTAAAGCATATTTCCAATATTTCCCAAATTTATTTGTTCATAGAATTCTTTTTACATGTATCAGAGGATTTGCATGTAACTGTTTCCAGGAACAAAATATGACTTGACTTGAAAACCTCACTAGTTATTAAGAGCAACAGCTCAAGAGCCAGAGTATCTGAGTTGTAATTTCAGCTCTTTTAGGATATTGTGTATGCCTCGCATAATGTTGAGCTTCCCTGTGCCTCAGTTTCCTCATTCTCACAAGTACACCATGAGCATGGAATGTTAGCATATAAAAAGCTTAAAACACAAAACATGTCAGATTTTATTACTAACAAGTTGAAGAATGGTAGTTGTGAAAACAAAACATAAAATTCAATAAAAACTGAATATTAAATGAATTAGGGGAACATACCTCATTAAGGTCACCAACTCAATGGACATGAGTTTGAGCAAACTCTGGAAGATGGTGAAGGACAGGGAAACCTGGCCTGCTGCCATCCATGGGGTCACAGAGAGTCAGACATGACTGAGTGATTGAACAGCAACGTCAATGAGACTTTTATTTTTTCTACCCCAAAGACATTTCACTATCCCATATTTTAGTTATGTTTATAAAGAAATTATTTTGTAATCTAGCAAATAACAATGACCCCTAGATTTTATCACAAATATTATATAACATTTGGCCTTACCTTCTGACAAGAAAATGCTAAAACAGCATACTGAAAATTACATGCCTCAAAATGATATTTTGGAGAAGTTGATTTATCTCCTGTATGTTACTAATTTCTAACAGTCATGAAATCTGATTATGTTAATATATAAAACTTTGCAATTGTATTTTGCCCTCAAATTGGCCTTTTACAAAATAAAAATTATTGAGTGGCTTTTAATCTTTAAGAGTTGATTGATCTAATTTTAAATGGTATTAAAGAGCAAGAAAGCTACTTTCTTGATTAGTTTTGCTATGGTGACATTGTAGTAAAATGAGATTTTCCCATGTGACAAATTGTGGGCATCTGAGAGCAGTATTCTATTACTTTGAACTATAGCAAAGCTAATTATTCTGAGCAGACAGCACACCCATGGCCTAGATCTTGACAGTATGCCTCTCAACCTAAATGGAAATATATCTTAAGAACATTAATGTGAATGTGTGTGTTTGTGTATATGCATGCACTTAATTTGGTAAAAAATAAATAAATAAAGTAGCATAATGTTTGTTTTTCTTCCTTAGGTGTCCATCTGCAGTTTGTAAATTTTTCTACAGAAACCATACATGATTATTTGGAAGTAAGAAGTGGGTCCTCAGAAACTAGTACTGTTATTGGCCGACTGAGTGGTCCTCAAATACCATCTTCCCTGTTTAGCACAACCCATGAAACCAGCTTGTATTTTCACAGTGACTATTCACAGAACAAACAAGGGTTCCACATTGTTTACCAAGGTGAGTGGGGTAATACAGCATGGGGTCTGGTTTAGCCTTAGACAGCTCTTAGCAATCTCACTCTCAAATATTTTCTATATTTTGTTTTAGAAAGAAAAGAGGAGCCTAACCAAGGCAAGCTTCAGTTAGGAAGAGTTTTAAACAATACAGTTTTCAGGCAAGCAAATGTGGGGAAATGATATCTTTTTGAGGCCTTACAAATTTGAACCATGAAAAAAGTATTTAATTGATTTTAATACACAATCAAATAAAACAAATCAAGGCCAGGCAGTCAGACAGGGCATGGGAAATGTAAGACTGAGTCTTGGCTTTTATATCAAAGTGAGTATACTGAAAAGATATTTTATGGTGCTCATCTACTATATGTAAAGTTATTCTTTTTTACTTTATAATGAAAGAATAACATAACATTCATTGATATCTTTCTACTGTTTTGAGAATATGAAATAAATAAATACTTTTTCAATCGTATTATATTAGGCCTATTTCCAATAAAAGTCTGCTGCATGAACTTGAGCATGAATTTCATCCCTTTAGAATATAAAGCTTAGACTCTGGAAGAACTAGGCTTAAATGTGAATTCTCTATGTGCAGTCTTAAGTGATGTAGGGCATAAGTTCATTTTTTCCTTTTCATGATAGAGTTAGTAAGAGTACCTCTCAGATAAGTTGTTTTGAACTTTGTGATGAAATGATTGTAAAATATTTACTGTGTTGTATATCATTAGTGATTATTTAGTGTAGTTTCTGTTTTGGTGTTTTCTGTTTGTTTTTGCTTTTTACTGTCATTTCAGATCTTAAAAGTCTGAAATTTAAAAGTAAAGGTTTAAAGTTATGATATTTATTAAAACAATGCAGTTCCAATTATTGTAATATGCAATCAAAAATAGCAAACTTTAATTACATCACTGCATTAATTATTAAAGGATTTAATGATCATGTGATTTTTTAAAAATTTAAGTTTTTCCTGAGTTCTAGTTGATTCACAAGTAGCTGATACTTTTGGACATGAGCTCCACCAGAGCAGGGATCTTTGTGTTGTTCATTCTTGTGTCTCAAGTGCCTAGAAGAGTATAAGTACAATAAATATTTGCTGAATAGAAGTATATACCTAAAAATAAATTTAAGAGTAGTTAAATTTTGACTGTGTGGATCACAATAAATTGTAAATCCTGAAAGAGATGGGAATACCAGACCACCTGACCTGCCTCTTGAGAAATCTGTATGCAGGTCAGAAAGCAACAGTTAGAACTGGACATGGAACAACAGACTGGTTCCAAATAGGATAAGGAGTACATCAAGGCTTCAACAGACTGGTTCCAAATAGGAAAAGGAGTATGTCAAGGCTGTATATTGTCACCCTGCTTATTTAATTTATATGCAGAGTACATCATGAGAAATGCTGGCCTGGAGGCCACAAACAGGAATCAAGATTGCAAGGAGAAATATCAATAAGCTCAGATATGCAGATGAAACCACCCTATAGCAGAAAGTGAAGAAGAACTGAAGAGCCTCTTGATGAAAGTGAAAGAGGAGAGTGAAAAAGTTGGCTTAAATTTTTCTCAACATTCAGAGCACTAAGATCATGGCATTGGATCCCATCACTTCATGGGAAATAGATGGGGAAACAGTGGGAACAGTGGCTGACTTTATTTTTAGGGGCTCCAAAATCACTGCAGGTGATGATTGCAGCCCTGAAATTAAAAGACACTTACTCCTTGGAAGGAAGGTTATGACCAACCTAGACAGCATATTAAAAAGCAGAGACATCACCTTGCCAATAAAGATCTGTCTAGTCAAGGCCATGGTTTTCCCAGTAATCATGTATGGGTGTGACAGTTGGACTGTAAAGAAAGCTGAGTGCCAAACAATGGATTCTTTGAACTGTGGTGTTGGAGAAGATTCTTGAGAGTCCCTTGGACTGCAAGGAGCTCCAACCTGTCCATTCTAAAGGAGATCAGTCCTGGGTGTTCATCGGAAGGACTGATGTTGAAGCTGAAACTCCAGTACTTTGGCCACCTGATATGAAGAGCTGACTCATTGGAAAAGACGCTAGTTTTGGGAAAGACTGAGAGGAGGAGGAGAAGGGGACGACAGAAGATGAGATGGTTGGATGGCATCACCAACTCGATGGACTTGGATTTGGGTAGACTCTGGGAGTTGGTGATGGACAGGAAGGCCTGGTGTGCTGCGGTTCACGGGTTTGCAAACAGTCGGACATGATTGAGTGACTGAACTGGAACTGGAACAAAACATCTAAGTCAAATCACTCTACTGTACACCTTAAATTCATGCAGTGATGTGCATCAATTATATTTTAATAAAACTGAGAAAAATTATCTTTTACATATGATTGAAAATTGAAAGGATTTATCTAATAGAGTAATATATCCTAGTTACTAATAATCAAATGATATACATTTACCCTAAATTGAAATGACTTTTTGATTTGATATATTTTGCTTATGGAATGAAGAAGGCAGTGGCAGCCCACTCCAGTTCTCTTGCCTGGAAAATCCTAGGGACAGAGGAGGCTGGTGGGCTGACACAACTGAAGCGACTTAGTAGCAGCAGCAGCTTATGGAATATTAATTAAAATGAAAAAGACAATTTAAGCACTTAACATCCTTAAAGGAGTGTTCATTAATTCTGAAAACTTTAGAGTATTTAATTTTAAAATATTAGAGTAATATCTTAGTTAACAACTTAGGGTAACTTATTCAACCTTAAATGTAAATTTCTGATTTGGGAAATTTAGAATTTAATGGGCTCAGTGTTAATATTCTCAATTTTGTGGTTACATAGGAGTATCCTTTTCTTTGTGAAATAGAAGTGATGGGTCAACTTATTCTCAACTAATCTGAAAAGAAGAAAGTGTGTTCACACACACACACAAACACAGATGTAGATGGGGACAGGGTTAAGGAAAGAAAGAGACAATGATGAAGATGTATCAGAGTTAACCACTGGGAAACCTGGCTGATGGCATAGTTCTTACCATTGCAACCTTTGTGTAGCTTTGGAATTACTAAAAAATAAAAAAAAAGTTTTTAATAAAGGAATTTAATGGTCAGTAGAAAAATAATATCTGCTGGTAATTTAAATTTTACTAATTATATATGGTTTTGAATTTCTTAAAAATAAAGTCTCAAATATTAATAATATATGAGTATATATACTGTTTATAGGTTCAAAATTTTTTCAGCAGTGTTTATTAAGCACCTAATATATAAAAGGAAGTAAGCAAAGCTTTTAGGATACAATGATAAAAGCAGGAACTTTGCTCTCATGTAGAATGTAGAACAACATTCGTATGAACAAATAAAATAGTTGTGCTTCAATGCCAAGAATATTATGATGACTGAAGTACAAAATTTATATTAGAAGGAAATAGTTTCCTAGTACTTTATATTGTTAAATAACTTCTTTAGAAAAACTCAATAGAGTGTGATTTATTTTTGGGGGGGGAAAATTAGCTTAAGAAATTCACAAAACTCAGAATTAGACTTAGACATATATTTATTTTATTTTATATACATGTGATATAACCAGAAAGCAATTGCATTCTAGGTAAAGGGATCAGAGTATGTTTGATTAAAATTGTGGCTTTAAGGGTAATTTATATTTTCATTAAAACTTTAAATAGATTTCATTAGTGAGTGAATAAACAATGCATTTTAATAAATTATGCTAAAATTCTAATATGAAAATTATAGACATAAGAAACATGCAGTCACTAACATCACTTGCTATAAACCCAAATCACTATTTCTAACCAACTGTAAGCAGCACTGCATCTATTTTGCAGATTGCAAATAGTACCCACTTGTGGTCTTTCACAATTCAGAAAGGAAAATTTTCTTTTTTTTACGTTTTCCAGCCTATCAGTTGCAAAGCTGTCCTGATCCACGCCCATTTCGAAATGGTTTTGTAATCGGCAATGATTTTACTGTGGGTCAAACCATTTCATTTGAATGTTTTCCTGGATATACACTGATTGGAAATTCAGCCCTCACTTGCCTTCATGGAGTGAGTCGTAACTGGAATCATCCACTTCCAAGGTGTGAAGGTATGCTTCTAACTTGAAGCCATCTTTTAGGTGATATAATCTGTGTTTAATAATTCTTGTTTTGGTACTCTTTTTCTATTCTCCTCTTCAAATGTCATGCTAAATATAGAGTCTTCCTTTCAGTTGAAGAATTATAGTTAGCACAAAGACCTTAAAACTCCATATTAAAGAACTAATTTTGTCATTCTTGAGTCAGGAGTTCTAACCTTCTCTATTGGATGCCAAATTAAAGTTGGTTAACACTTTAGAGCTTCTCCTATGTGATGTCTATATGAGTGCATGTGTGTTTGTTTAGTAATCATTCTTTTATAAACCAGTAGCCCAAATATTGCTACTGAATTTGGGCTCATTTCTTCTAAAATAAATAAATAAAAATGCCTCAAACCTCTTATAAGTCCTTATATTTATACATGATATAAGACAAAAGTTGAACGGTATATATATGGTAAAGTATTTGAAAAAAGAGAATATAATGTAATTTACTAATCTAGTAATAGTGAAATACTATGTAGAATACCTCATGCTGAAAGATAAATAAACATTCACTCTGTTTGGTTCATGGTTTCCAGCTTCATTTTATATACCTTAACTGAGGTAGACACATAACCCAGATGTCTTTTATACTAAGAGGTATGAAATGTTTGCAATTTTTTGTCATCAATTTACTATGATTCTACTTAAACATATTGTATCTTTTCTGTAGCTCTTTGTGGAGGGAATATAACTGCAATGAATGGTACCATTTACTCCCCTGGGTATCCAGATGAATATCCAAACTTTCAAGACTGTTTTTGGCTTGTAAAAGTACCCCCTGGGAATGGAATCTACATCAACTTTACTGTCCTACAAACAGAACCGATCTATGATTTCATCACTGTATGGTAAGCCAAGACCTCCGTTATTGATTGATTCAACTGTGTATAACAGTGAAATAGGATAGGAGTAAAAATATATCACGGTCCTCTGTACAGATTGCCATCTGATGCTTGAACTGGTGTGAATAACTGAAGGTGACAGTGTGTTTTGCAGAATAAGACAGATGAGAAAGATTTCAGTTTGTTTGCCCATGAAGTAGCTAAACACATAGAACAAAAACTTGATGGGTGGAAAAAGATCACATTTGTTATTAAAATAATGTGCAAAACCTGGGAATTAAATCAGAGTAAGTTTATGGTAAGAAAGTTCTCTATTTCAAAACTAGTGAAATTTAAAAAGCTATATTCCAATAAGTTGCTTAATACAGCTACTGAATTTCTGTCATAATAATTCATCATATTATTTTGTATTATTATTATCCTGTTAATTAAAATATCTCTAAACCATAAAGAAAATATATGAATTATTTTTTTCCAGTTTGTTAATTGAATTACTGTATGACTTCTAAAATTCTTTCTAAATTTAACAGTCTTTGATTCTCAAGATTATTTTGAAGAAAATAAAAGGAGGGAAAACCTCCAGCATTTGGGAGGATTTGGGTTGTGACCAGGAAGCCAAGGCAATTTAATTAATTACAGCTAACATGAATGCATTTCATAGGTGAAAATGTTATCTATTTCTCACTTTACATTTTTAAGTATTTTATCACCCAAGTAAACATATACCAATATGATTTGGCACTTGCTGATTATTTCATCTACTGCATCTTTATATCTCATATGTAATACTTTCATTAAACTTTGTGTGAAACTTTCCCAAAACATCAATCTCATTTTCCCTTCCCACTCCCTTCCCTGTCTCTCCCCTGTAGGGATGGACCAGACCAAAACTCACCACAGATTGGACAGTTCAGTGGCAATACTGCTTTGGAATCAGTCTACAGCACTTCAAATCAGATTCTAATCAAATTCCACAGTGATTTCACAACAAGTGGCTTTTTTGTGCTCAGTTATCACGGTTGGTATCATCTAGGAATTTCTGTTTGATTTGGCAATGTTTGAAATTGTCATGGAAAAATTGAGTATAATATATATTTAGCCAGTGATTGAAAAGGTATTAAAATTTGACAGTTTTTTTTATCACTTCAAATGCTTTTGCTTGCAAACAATGACCTCTTCTAAGCATTTAAAGACATTAAAATATGAGCAAATGGAAATAAAAAATAAATCAGTCAGTAATTATCCCAGTAGAAAATAATCATTTCTTGCAAAGAAATCCATAAAAGAGAACCAGCTGTTCGTATTTTATTACATGTAATTTTGAAGCATCAATAGATTTTTTTTCAATACAAAATGTTTAATCTATTCAACCTGCTGTGAGTCTTTCTAAAATTAGCATCCAGTAACTTTATGCTTTGGATCATATCACTCATTCATTTATACTCTCTTGTTTCACAACTGTATCTCTTCTAGAATCTTACAGTTTTAAATGACTATTCCAGATCATTAACTTCATAGCTTTTATTCCTGTGAAATAATTTATGAAGACTTGCAATTTCAATTCTTTGTATAGAATTATTCTGGGTTCTCTCTTTATAATATTCACTTTCTTAAAAGAGCATTCAGATGGTTTCACAGGTTTTTTAATTTATTTGTATGTTAAATTTTGTTACATTATACATATGAAAATATTTACTTTTATATTTAGTGAAATATGAAACTATAGGGACTATAGTCTTTCATCTGTTATGATCATAGTTTCATAAACTCATTCTGTTTCATATGACTTTGTCAGACCAATTCCATGATCTTTTCACAATATCAAGACTCTACTAAATTAAATTTGCAAAAATTATATTAGAATTTCCAAGGTGAACATGTACCTTGTACATTACATTAACAAACAGTGTAATGTTTTCTTCTTTTTTTAACACAAAGTAAGAAAACCTTTGAAAGTCAAAGATTATATTATGTGAAAAATATGGTAAGTCAAATATGGTTATAAACAAAAATACTTAAAGTACATTCAGTACAGAAATATATAGAAAACAGACCAGAAAATATTCGATTTCCTTAACCTCAGCAGTTATCAGTCAGTAGATAATGCCCAATTTGCGCTTCTGTAGTGGCCAGAGCTGCTTGTATACTTCAGCATAGTGAATTAGAAAACAGGGGGATCAGTTAGAAAACTATGAATTAGGCTGTTTACTTTTTGAGTAACTCATTAGCCTTTTTCAGTAACTCATTAGCCTTTTTCATTATTTTTTAGTAACTCATTAGCCTTTATCAGTAACTTATTAGCCTAAATTGTTCATTGGTGTGAGGAGTATGTAGGTATAGTCTAAAACAGCAGCAATAGCTTTAATACTTTGAAAGATAATCGTAGTTTGAGAACAAAAAACTAAATGATTTCTAAGTTCAGAAGATGAATTCATTGCTGAAATGTATTCTGTACATTTTCTCTCTTCATGATTCCCTACATAAATATTTATTAGTCTGCACCTTGCCTGAACAAGTGAATAAAGAAAGGACAGTACATTCAGCTCAATTCAGTGGCTCAGTCATGTCCAACTCTTTGCGACCCATGGACTGCAGCATGCCAGGATACCTTGTCCATCACCAGCTCATGGAGCTTGCTCACTCATGTCCATCAAGTTGGTGATGCCTTCCAACTATCTCATCCTGTTGTCCCCCTCTCCTCCTGCCTTCAATCTTTCCCAGCATCAGGGACTTTTCTAATAGGTCAGCTCTCAGCGTCATGTGGCCAAAGTGTTGGAGTGTCACTTTCAGCATCAGTCCTTCCAACAAATATTCAGGACTGATTTCCTTTACGATTGACTGATTTGATCTCCTTGCAGTTCAAGGGGTCCTCAAGAGTCTTCTCCAAGAAGATAGTTCAAAAGCATCAATTATTCAGCACTTAGCTTTCTTTATAGTCCAACTCTCACATCCATACATAACTACTGGAAAAACCATAGCTTTGAATATATGGACCTTTGACAGCAAATAAAGCCTCTGCTTCTTAATATGCTGTCTAGGTTTGTCATAGCTTTTCTTGCAAGGAACATGCATTGTATAATTTCATGGCTACAGTCATCATCTGCAGTGATTTTGGAGCCCAAGAAAATAAAGTTTGTCACTGTTTCCATTGTTTCCCCCATCTATTTTTCCATGAAGTGATGGGATCAGAAAGTGCTGCACTCAATAGGCCAGCAAATTTGAAAAACTCAGCAGTGCCCACAGGACTGGAAAAGGTCAGTTTTCATTCCAATCATGAAGAAAGGCAGTGCCAAAGAAATTACAAATTACTGCACAATTGCACTCATCTCACATTCTAGCAAATAATTCTGAAAATTCTCCAAGCAAGGCTTCAACAGTATGTGAACCAAGAACTTCCAGATGTTGAAGCTGGATTTAGAAAAGGCAGAGGACCAGAGATGAAATTATCAACATCCGTTGGATCATAGAAAAAGCGGGAGAATTCCAGAAAAGCATCTGCTTCATTGACTACACCAAAGCTTTTGATTGTGTGGATCGCAGCAAACTATGGAAAATAATTTAAGAAACCATACCAGACCATCTTACCTACCTCCTGGGAAAGCTGTATGCAGGTCAAGAACCAACAGTTAGAACAGGACATGGAACAACAGACTGTTTCCAAATAGGCAAAGGAGTATGTCAAGGCTATACATTGTCACCCTGCTTATTTAACTTATATGCATAACACATCATGTGAAATGTCAGGCTGGATGAAGCACAAACTGGAATCAAGATTGCCAGGAGAAATGTCAGTAACCTCAGATATGCAAATAACACCACGCTTATGGCAGAAAGTGAAGAGGAACTAAAGAGCTTCTTGATGAAAGTGAGAGAAGAGAGTGAAAAAAGCTGGCTTAAAACTCAACATTCAAAAAAACGAAGATCATGGCATCTGGTCGCATCACTTCATGGCAAATAGATGGGGAAACAATGGAGACAGTGACAGACTTTATTTTCTTGGGTTCCAAAATCACTGCAGGTGGTGACTGCAGCCATGATTAAAAGAGGCTCGCTCCATGGAAGAAAAGCTATTACCAACCTAGACAGTATATGAAGAAGAAGAGACATTACTTTGAAAACAAAAGTTCATGTAGGCAAAGCTATGGTTTTTCCAGTAGCCATGTATAGATGTGAGAGTTGGACCATAAAGAAAGCTGTGCGCCAAAGAATTGATGTTTTTGAACTATGGTGCTGGAGAAAACTGTTAAGAGTCCCTTGGGCTGCAAGGAGATCCAACCAGTCCATCCTAAAGGAAATCAATCCTGAATATTTACTGGATAGACTGATGCTGAAGCTGATGCTCCAATACTCTGGCCACCTGATGCAAAGAGCTGACTCATTGGAAAAGACCCTGATGCTGGTAAAGGATGAAGGCAGGTGGAGAAGGGGAAGACAGAGGATGAGATGGTTGGATGGCATCACTGACTTGATGGACTTGAATTTGAGCATGCTCCGGGAGTTGGTGATGTACAGGGGATCCTGGTGTGCTGCCGTCCATGGGGTCACAAAGACCCAACTTAGTGACTGAACTGAACTGAATTGACGGGACCAGATGCCATGATCTTTGTTTTTTGAATGTTGAGTTTTAAGCCACTTTTTCAGTCTGTTCTTTCAGCTTCATCAAGAGGCTTTTTAGTACCTCAGTGCTTTCTACCATAAGGGTGGTGTCATCTGCATATATTGGAGAAGGCAATGGCACCCCACTCCGGTACTCTTGCCTGGAAAATCCCATGGACGGAGGAGCCTGGTAGGCTGCAGTCCATGGGGTCTTTTAGAGTCGGAAAGGACTGAGCAGCTACACTTTCACTTTTCACTTTCCCGGGGACGGGGGAGCCTGGTGGGCTGCTGTCTCTAGGGTCATACAGAGTCGGACACGACTGAAGCAACTTAGCAGTAGCAGCAGCATCTGCGTATATGAGGTTATTGATATTTCTCTCGGCAATCTTGTTTCCAGTTAGTGCTTCATCCAGTCCAGTATTCACATGATGCACTCTGCATGAAGTGAAGTGAAGTGAAAGTAGCTCATTCATGTCCCACTCTATGGGACCCCATGGACCATACAGTCCATGGAATTCTCCAGGCCAGAATACTGGAGTGGGTTGCCTTTCCCTTCTCCAGGGGATCTTCCCAACCCAGGGATCAAGCCCCGGTTTCTCCTGCATTGCAGGTGAATTCTTTACCAGCTGAGCCACAGGAGATGCCTGGGAATACTGGAGTGGGTAGCCTATCCCTTTTCCACTGGATCGTCCCGACCCAGAAATCCAATCGGAGTCTCTTGCATTGCAGGCAGATTCTTTACCAACTGAGCTATCTGGGAAATAAGTTAAATAAGCCGTATACAGCCCTGAGTACTCCTTTCCCAATTTAGAACCAGTCCATTGTTCCATGTCCAGTTCTGTTACTTCTTGACCTGCATACAGTTTTCTCAGGAGGCAGGTAGGTGGTCTAGTATTTCCATCTCTTTAATAATTTGTCACATTTTTTGTTATCTACACAGTCAAAGGCTTTGGCATACTCGATGAAGCAGAAATACATGTTTTTCTGGAACTCTCTTGCTTTTTTCTATAATCCAGCAGCTGTTGATAATTTGATCTCTGCTTCCTCTGCCTTTTCTAAATCCAGATTGAATATCTAGAAGTTCCCGGTTCGCATACTTTTGAAGCATTGCTTAGAGGATTTTCAGCATTACTTTACTAGCATGTGAGATGAGTACAATTGTGCAGTAGTTTGAACATTCTTTGGTATTGCCTTTCTTTGGGATTGGAATGAAAACTGACCTTTTCTAGTCCTGTGGCCACTGATGAGTTTTCCCATTTTGCTGGCATAATGAGTGCAGTACTTATCAGCATCATCTTTTAGGATTTGAAATAGCTCAACTGGAATTCTATCACCTCCACTAGCTTTGTTCATAGTGATACTTCCTGAGGCCCACTTGACTTCATACTGCATGATGTATGGCTCCTGGTGAGTGATCACACC